TGCTTTATGGAGCAAAACTCGTCTCTGATTAGATTTCGATTCGTAAAGTGGTAGAGTAGCAAACGTTGTGATAAATTGTTGACAGTAAATTCCCCATAGTAACTAAGTCGAAGCACATTTCCTTACCTTGGTGGTTCGGTTTGAGCTATATAGGGAAGAACATTGTGAAGAAGATAGATTTTTTAATATAAGAGAAACGATGGGTAAAGAGCTGTTACGCTTTTGTTAACAAGATTACAGCTATCGAAGACTACGCTAAAGAATACGCTGTAAAACCGTCTAGTGCAGAAACCAGTCAAGTCTGCCCTATGCAGGTTTGCCTAAACCAGTTTGCAGAATTCGACCATTCGAAGAATTGCCGTATTGCTTATGGCCCATGTAAGAACACAAAGCCTTCACTATAAAGAGGCTATAGCCATTTCTATCCACGATCCTGAGTTGTATCACTAGAGAAAAACTAGGAGATGGTGAAGAAAGGAGAGGGAGGGAGAATGGAATAGGTGGTAGTTTTGTATCGTATTTTATTTTTGGATATGAAACTCTAAAAGGCAAGAACAAAACGGATGAACAGTCAACATTGGCTTAGGAATTGGTTGAAAAAGAGAATTATCTACTTGAACAAATTTTTTGAGAGATTTGCCAATGCACAAATTAAGCAATTTTTCTTCATAGTGGATCTCAGTAGAACTATAACCTTTAAATCATAAATCTGAGTAGTTATGGCCAAAAAACCATGGTTGAGTCTTTCAATGCAGTCATTTTTCGGAATAGAAAAAAGGACTCGGAGATCCCCTCTTTTCTCGCGGGCCCTTCCATGCCAATATATGCGAAACATCAAATTTTGTCTAGGTTACTAAGCAGATGCGATATTATGGCACTAGAGAGTAGAACTATCAGCATTTGATAAATACAAACAATAAAGAATAAAGTTAAGGTCTAGAATCTTTATATATATTTCATAAATGCCAATACTGATGTGCTATATAACAACCAACGATTGATCAACCGA